AACTCCTTTGTCCCTAGGCATCAGCATATAAAATTTGAACCAAATCCGTTCACTGGCATATGAGTTATCAAATATTACGTTTTTTAAGGAATTTGGGCCGCCATCTTGAAATTCAGCCGCCATCTTGAAAATTATTTCTTGAACAGAGCTACTGTGTCCCTAGGCATAATCATATAAAATTTCAACCAAATCTGTTCACTGGTATTTGAGTTATCAAAGATTATGTTTTTTACGGAAAATTGCCGCCATTTTGAAATCAAGCGGCCATCTTGAAAATGTTTTGTTGAACATAGCTACTGTGTCCCTAAGCATCATCATATAAAATTTGAACCAAATCCGTTCACTGGTATTTGAGTTATCAAAGATTACATTTTTTTACGAAAAATGGCCGCCATTTTGAAATTAAGCGGCCATCTTAAAAATCTCTTTTTGTGCGAAACTCCTTTGTCCCTAGGCATCAGCATATAAAATTTGAACCAAATCCGCAAACTAGTATTTGAGTTATTAAAGATTACATTTTTTACGAAAAATGGCGGCCATTTTGAATTCAGTGGCCATATTGCAAATTCCTTCTCGAGCAGAGGTCCTACACCCATAAGGCATAAGCCTATAAAATTTGAATCAAATTGGTGAAATGATATTTGAGTAACCGCCCGGACAAACAGACGGACGGACGGACGGACAGCTTTCCTATATCCCTCTCGAACTTCGTTCGGTGGGATAATTATTCACTATTCTAACTGAGTTTTGCTTATGTATATGTGTAATGACAAAACACAAAAAGTGTAACAATTGTTGCGGATACATAACCATATTAATATATTATGGACACCCTGTATATAAGGCTTTATATTTCAATAAAGTCCAAAAAATTGTTGATAGCTGGATGATCTAGGACCTACATACCTTTATACCTTACATGTTGAATTATAGATGTAAAATTTAGTACTGAACTTTTGAGACACTCCTTAAACTTATGAACTCCCTCCAATCTATTTTAATATTTCTTAGAAAACTTATCAGACAACAATTACAATGCCATATCGTATCTAAAGAACTAGACTATAATCGTGAGAATATACACGTTTTCCAGCCAAAGTAAGTATTTCCTTTGAAATACACTAAACAGGCTCACCCTTACAAACCAGACAATGAACTGAGTGTTATTTTTTATGATGCAAATCATGGCTCCAAAGGATCAATGAGAGAGGAAAGGGTAAACAAGGCACAGGTGAACAATGATGTACCTAAGATCAAAAATGGGTGTCCCTTTCCACAGCATACCAAAAATCTATTCTAGATATCTGTACCAAAAAACATCTTGAAATTTCAAAACAATCCATAAAGACACTGGTTTGTCTGCTGTCATCCACCCACTAAGCAAACAACAATGTACAACTGTACTTTCTATAGGACCTGAGGCCTCATTATCCGGTCGACGCACCGCAAATCGCAATCGCAACGTAAATATTTAGCGAATCGTACGCAAAACGATATTATGAGGTCATCTCAAAGGCACTCTAGCGCAAATTCATTGCCGTTTTGCGTCTTTAGCGCAAATCGCAGTTTTCTTATTACACGGTAGACGCATCGCTATTTTCATTTCGCATCGCAAATACACTGCTAACCGCACGCAAATTGGTATTATGCAGTCATCGCACAGTTGCGTCCACGTAAATCAGTTGATTTTTATGTCGCAAACTCCACTTTATTTGCGGCATCCCTGACCCTGCCGCAATATAAATCGCAAACATATCATCAAGAATCTTGATAGTTTTCCTATTTAAATTAACATTATCGTTTTAGAAATCTAGGAAGTGCCCTTTGAGACATCCAACTAAAAATAGGTTGAAAAACATTAGAGACACAAATAACCAAAACTTATCAAAATCAAGTCTGAAAGTGCACGATTATGCTACCTTGGTTTTGTGAAATCTATAATAAATATCGCAATTCCATTTCGCAAATATCGTCTGCTAAAATTAAAATATTAGGGTTCGATCAAGCTGGAAAATGTGGTGCATATTATTCCAGGATGTTCACAATAGAAGAGGTTTACGCTTATTCAGAGACAGGAGTCAGCCGTTAGAGATGACTGACGATGAGATATTAAACAGATATCGCATGCCGAGGCCACTCATTCTTGAGTTGATTAATATATTAGATGGGGATCTAGCGTCAAGAACAAGGAATCCTCAGGCAATTCCATGTCAGCTAAAAGTATTCATTTCATTACGATTTTATGCTACAGGTTGTATGCAAATGATAAATGGAGATATATTCGGGGTATCCCAACCTACTGTTTCGAACATTGTTGCTGAGGTATCGGCGGTTTTCTCTAGGTAGGCTATATCAGTCGGACTAATTACAAAGACACCGTGTCTTGTTTTCAAGATGGGCTGCCTTCCAGTGACAGATCTAGATTTTCGCAAGATATATATAGGTTATGTAGTGGGAGGGATTCAATATGGGTTTTATTATGATGGACAATATGATATTTACCGAGAGCCCGGAGGGTCAGAGGGAAATACCAAATTGTCCCTCACAATATGTGATATATCAAATTGTCATGAGGAATAAACCCATATTTAATCCCGACCAGTAAATTAGCTTTTTATTCCATGATATTCATAACTGTCTTCATAAAATCATTAGTTAGATTTTTCTATGAAAAAATGGTATATTTAATCAAGAAAATATGACTTAGCTTTAAAAAAAATTATTGTACATGTGTAACATAAACACATCAACATCAAAACATTCAGCAATACGTAAGCATTTTTGTCTGTGTCAGAGCGATGATGATAAAACTGGAATTCGTTTTTCACAGAACATCATTTTAGCATACTATATCGACCCAACTGATTGAAAGAGGAAGCTTTGTTTGGCAAAAATTTTCAATACGATTTTTTCTCAATATCAAAAATATTCCCGGTTATTCATCGGGAAATAGTAGTATCATGGGATAAATAGAGATTATCCTATATGAGGTTCAGGATATTGAACTATAGGATGATCTGTTTATCCCATACCAATCTTGGTCATTTTGTTCACGCTGTTCAATTGGCCGGAGTTCAGAATTCATTTAGAATAGTCTGATTTTCAGATATTCATCCACATTTATTTCTGAAATCCTTGTTTAACAGGGATACGCTCATTTCCTTCCTTCAAACAGATCGCGATTGTCTGCCTTTTCTCCATTAACGTTTACAGTAATTATGCGCATGTTACAAAAATGAACCAATATGCGAACGGCGATTATGACGTCAGCGGGCAGATATACTATATCTGCCCGCTCAGAGCGGGACGTATAGCTATATCTGAACGCTTATGAAAATATATAGAGGTTATTTAATGGGAGGTTTTTGATACAGGGTATATCTGAGGGAAATACAATATATCAACCCGAGGGACCGTAGGGACCGAGGGTTGATATATTGTATTTACCGAGGGATATACCCTGTATCAAAAATCGAGCATTTAATAACTGATTTATTCTATACTTAGTAGATTGTGAGGAATAATAGCAAAGTCCCCTGGCTCAGTATCTACTCCCTGAATTTATGACGTCGTAGATCTGCTGAGCGGGAGATATATATATCTCCCGCTCACGTCACATATTCAGTTATATTCCCGCATGTTATATACCTATAACACTACTAAGTATGGAATAAAAGTTTTTACAAACCAGCTTTATGTACCTATAACACGTCCAAGTATGGGATTGACACATCCGCACTGGCGTAAACATATACATAGACATTAGAAAATCGATAAATCTATTTTGAGCTCTAAGTTTAAATTTCCCGCGTTTCCAATTTATTTGCGATTAGCATACTGTTGCGTCTGCGTTGCGTCTGCGTTTGCGTGAAGCGCGTAATACGACGCAAACCATGATTTGCGCTTGCAAATAATGTTGATTCGCAAGCGCAACGCAAATCGCAACGCTAATTTAGCGCTGACCGGATAATGAGGGCTCTGGTGTGATTAAAATATTGTTAATGTGAACTTATGAACATAAAAGCAATATTTGTTTTCTACACTATCAGTTTTTGGGTAACTCCACAGGCTTTATCAACATATCTGTCTGTTCCAAGGAGGAGGGAGGGGGTTTGGAGTGTGTAATGTATATGTGTCAGGTAACAAAGTTTTGATATGACCCCTTATATTGTTTTCTGCGAGTCCATAATGAGAAAAAGTGAAAAGTTACACCAACTTTTCTTATAAATTTTTGATGTTGAATTATTAGAATTCTAAATCTAGATAGGTCTATGGCAATGTGATTTTACTCAGACGTAACATCAAAGCCAAAGCTATATTAGTTTAAAGACTCGTATGTTCTTAATAATTTTCAAGTATGAATCACTTTGTAATGAACTAAAATGGCTTACTCTATTGATCAAAATTTCTTAATGCGAATAATGGCCAAAGCCCAAACACACACTACTAATAGCCCACACTATGCCTCTTTATAGGCCTTTAATGTTTCTTGAATTCCATAAAACATTAAAATAACAACTGAAAATACATCATGCATGCGAATTTAACCAGGTGTTTGTACAACCTAATGTGTTCTCAGAAGAAGAGGAAGAATTTTGACACATTATGAATAAAAACTCCTGACAATCAATTGTCTTTTTAAACTGTAACAGTTGGGTTAGATCAAAATAAACATTTGATATTTGGAAATTGTGTCATGAAAAACAGCCTCAGGATTTCATTTCATACAAATACTGTGGACAAAATTGATCAAATGCAAAGATGGTCAAAGACAGAAGTTGATTGAATGCCTTGGTGACCTTTTGGTGGTAACAAGAAGACAGCATTAAACTTGATCTGAGGAATTTCTTTAATTTTTAGCCTAAAATGGTAAAGCATTTTGGATCATGCCTGATAACACCCCTGACTACACCCTTTTCTAAAGCCCTGATTACACCCCTGACCACACCCCTGACTACCATCCTGAATACAGCCCTGAATAAGTACTAAAATCAACCTACCTTCAACTAGAGCAAGTTCGAGTTCTCCATACATTTGCCAATAGGGGAGGTAAACAATGTCTTTGAGTAAGTTCCAGCTTACTGGCGCATTGGGGTACCTCAACGCTTGACTAGCAACACCATATGCTAATATGAATACCAGCAATATGGCAATAAAGAACAGCAGATCAGTCAACTGAAAATAAACATGTACATATATTAAATAGGGGAGGTATACAATGCCTTTGAGTACAGATACTTAATAGAAAGGCTTAAACAATTCACTTATCCAATGAATAATCATTTCATTTACCAATTCATAATATATCCCAGATCTTTTGGGAGATATTATTTTTGAGATTTTAAGGAATATATATTTGTTGATCAACCGTTCCATGTTGCTTGAAATTCTGTCAACCCCTTCAGACCCGACTCTGCCTTTACTATGGTTTATAGAGTTTAGTTTTGTTTTCACCATTCTAATCTAAAGTCACAAACAAAGGACTCACCATTCTCCTAATCATGATAACTTTTGGTCCCAGATTTTTCTCAACGAAAAATATATGCATGAAGCGAACGAAGAACATGGCGAGAGTGATGCTGTAGAACCTCCTTGCCCATTTGAAGTCTTCCTCGTCCAGCAGGGTGTAGCGGAGAATGATAGAGATGAGGAGCATGATGTAGATGCCTTGGTCAAAGGCATTCCAAAGATTACTGAAGTAGCCAGAGAATTTGTATTTGACAGAGGTTGTGTCTTTCGTGAGGAACTGAAAATAAAAATTTGTTCCATTTTACTGCAGACAACCACTCATAGTTTTTTACATGTTTGTTTTTTTTTTGATCAAGAGGATCTGGTGGTAAGACATTAGCTGGTAAGACATTGGTTATACTAATCTACGTTAGTATGAGCTGTATCAGTTGAAAATTCATCAGGTGGTATGAGTTGTCAACTGTTCATATGAGTTACTGGGCCATACGGAAAATATATTGCGATACAAAATGATATATTGGATTTTAATTTATGTGGTTAGTTTAGGTAGTTTTTGTGGCCTTACTGCAAAACTACTGAATGATGTCTCACAATCATTTCTTCTTAATTTTTGGAAAATTGAATCCTACCCCAGCCAAAAATATCTCAAATTCTTTGAAGAGTTGGACTTACTGTAAGATAAAATGAAGTCAAAGTAAAGGGAACATTAGACTTTAGATTTCTGAATTTTTACTAAGTTTCTGATAATGACCCCCTGACCCTGACTTCAGAAAGCATTATTTTCTTCTTACCTGTCTCAGTTCTTCAACAAACATAGTAGCAGCCCAGCCCCACACCAACATTTCCCAGAAACTTGGGGAGTCAGGATGCGTCACAGGTCTGAGGTTAGTAAGTAGGAAGAATGTGAACATGCCCAAGAATACAATGTAGGATATCTGAAATAGAAACAGCATTTATGTATGATATGATGAGCAATCATTGAGCAAGCAAGGGGTTGTGGGTCTGATCCACACTTGGGAGGGCTGACTTTTTCACGTCAGCCCTTGGCACAGGAAGTTTTCACTAACATACTCAGGTATGATATATGATGTAAGATATCTAAAATAGAACACTGACATAGTTTCATTCTTTTTTGTATGATATGTGAGATACATACATATTTCAAGTTTATTTAGCTAGTGTTTATACAATTAATGTGAGCTTTTGTGTGGATGTATGACATGTGTCCTTCAATATTGTAAAAGTCAAAATTTTAAATCCTAATTTTTTTTTTAATGCTACATTATTAACTCATTCGCTACAAATGACGTGATATGACGTCTTGAAGCACATACGTTGACTACGGAGGACGTGATATCACGTCCAAGCACAAACTCAATGTATTTTTTGGAATCTTGTAACCATGACAATCTATAAAATTGAACTTAAAAAACCTATTGATTCTGAAAGAGTATATCATATGCTTTAAAATGATATATAACACTACATATGTATGCCCATGTATATATTTTATATATTATCTCAGAGGTACCATACAATGTATATGGCAATTTTCAAAAATTCTTCAGTATTTTAGTGCTTTTTGCCCCAGTATTGAATGAGTTAACCCAGTATTATTTATCAACATGATTCTATATTTACAATTTGATTTTGTTCAAACTACATAAATATTTTTGTTTGAATAATGTGATATTCATTTGAATATTTAATATCATTTAATTACTCACTGTATGATAAGAGAATTTGGTGACTGGTGCTGTATGGTAATAATAGATGGCACTGAATACACTGATTGACCCCTGGGCACCTGACCCGCAGGCGACTGTGTACAATTTCCGAGTCAGTCTTTTTCTCTTCCTCCGAGATTTAGACCTGAAATAAGAAAATATCATTTGAAGAATCAATTAAAGGACTCATCATAACATATATCATTAATTTCCAATTTCAATCTATCTCTTAAAGGAGGGGGGCTCTTATTGCTGTACACAGTCTCCAAAGCAGATACCTGGTAGTTTCTCCCATACCTGCAATGTTAAAGTAAATTGCTTGAGTGACAATTGTGAATACAAGGAAGTTGAATATGACAATGTAATTGTCTACATCCTAGTCATCGGAATATTTATAGATTGACTGCTTATGTAAGAATATTTTATGTTGTAAGTCAATAGAAAGATGGCAGGAGTGTAGACTAGTGGTGACTCTGCCATCATTTTTATTTATTTATTCATTGCACAGGGAAACAGAGATAAACACAGATCGATTACCATGCCATCTTTATTTAAAAATGATTTCTATCACCCATAGCCTATGTCTGTACATCTTTGAGGTGGGACAATTCCTAACACACCTTGCATAATAAACTGCCCATCTGCAACAAGTCCTTAATACTTGAACCTTTAGATGTGGGCAACGGCAGGACTAGATACATTGCCTACCACATACCTTACAAACACTGTACTACCATTCCCAAGGGGTTGTACATCAAACAACTTCTAGTAGGCGTTTTGCAAGGTTATTGGCAGAAAAAAACACATTTACCTTACAAATTCTTCATTGACATTCCCAACTTTGCTGTTTGGACTCTGATGGGTTCTGTGGACAATTATAGGGAAGGAATTAACACTTACACGTACCTTACAAATTCCTCAATGTCATTCCACAGGGTCTGTACATCAATTCTTCTGCCTTTAGACTCTAATGGGCCCTGGGTAAAGTCATTGTGAGAAAAGAACACTTACCTTACAAATTCTTCATTGTCATTCCCAAGGGGCTGTACATCAACTTTGCTGCCTTAACTCATTCAATACTGGGGCAAAAAGCACTATAATACTGACGATATTTTGAAAATTGCCATATATGGTACCTCTGAAATAATATATATTGTATATACATGGGCATACATATATAGTGTTATATATCATTTTAAAGCATATGACATACTCGTTCAGAATGAATAGTTTTTTAAGTCCCATTTTATAAGTTGTCATGGTTACAAGATTCCCCTAAAAATACATTGGGGTTTTGCTTGGACTTGATATCAAGTCCTTAGTAGTCAACGTATGTGCTTTATGACGTCATATCACGTCCTTAGTAGCGAATGAGTTAAGACTCAGGTGGGCCCTATGCAAGGTTACTTGTGGAAAGGGACACTTACCTTACAAATTCTACATTAGTATTCCCAAGGGGCTGTACATCAACTTTGCTGCCTTAAGAATCTGGTGGGCCCTATGCAAGGTTACTTGTGGAAAGGGACACTTACCTTACAAATTCTACATTATCATTCCCAAGGGGCTGTACATCAACTTTGCTGCCTTAAGACTCTGGTGTGCCCTAGGCAAGGTTACTTGCAGAAAAGAACACTTACCTTACAAATTCTTCATTGTCATTCCCAAGGGGCTGTACATCAATTTTGCTACCTTTAAACTCTGGTGGTCCCTGTGCTAGGTTACTTGCGGAAAGGGACACTTACCTTACAAATTCTTCATTGTCATTCCCAAGGGGCTGTACATCAACTTTGCTACCTTTAAACTCTGGTGGTCCCTGTGCTAGGTTACTTGCGGAAAGGGACACTTACCTTACAAATTCTTCATTGTCATTCCCAAGGGGCTGTACATCCATTTTGCTACCTTTAAACTCTGGTGGTCCCTGTGCTAGGTTACTTGCGGAAAGGGACACTTACCTTACAAATTCTTCATTGTCATTCCCAAGGGGCTGTACATCAACTTTGCTGCCTTTAGACTCTGGTGGACCTTGTGCAAGGTTATTATCAGAGGGACCTTCTGTAGTGAAGTCATTTGTTGAGAACTTTATCAAAGGCAGGAAGAATGGCAAGAACAGGGAGGCAAATATCTGAAATGCAAAAATAAAGCTTTCAAAAACAGATGAATAAATAATACCTCAGTGAAATAAATTCCACTAATTCTATATATTTGCTAAATACAATGCATCGCTTTTATACAAGTTCTACCCTGTACTTCTTTGGTGTGTGATCAAAAATCATAACTTACCTTCCAGTTTGAAGTATATAAAGCCATATTGCCTTTCCATATTTTATTAAGTTTAGTCTGGCAGCATGATAGCCCCATGAAGTCCATCTTATTAGCCTCTTCTGCTATGGAGAATAATGTGGTGCCTCCCCATGTGTTAAGTTTCCTGATCAACAGGTTGTGGGACATCTGCTTGTCTCTGGTGTAACATTCATTTAGGACTCCACATGCAATCTCTTCCCATGACCTATGTGCAGTTTTTAAAATCAAGGTAGACATACACACTACCCTACCTCCTAACTGTGGCCTGTATTTCTTTAAAATGGATACAGGCTACAGTGAAGTTGCACATTTCCATATTTCTGCAGGTATACTTAATTTTATATATATTCCAAGTGTTCTACTCTACAGCAACATTGTATAAATAGAGCAGTTTGCATTGTAATATTACCAGAAAAGCCCTGTGTATTTTTGTGCTGAAAACTCTCCTTTCATTACAAATGCCCTCCCCTAGTGTGTATTGTTGTGATGTATCCCTTTTAAAGGAATACAAGCTACAGCATGGGGTAGGGTAGTGTGACATAGCATTCATCTCTTATGATATCATATAATACATGTATATATTATTGAAATTATAACCTAATAAGATGTTTATATTTCATATTTTTAACTTTTATTTTAAAGAAATGTGATAATTATTATCAATTAATTAAATCACCAAAACATCACTTTCCAGTGTCATTCATTTGGTCAAAGCTTAATTTGCAATTACATGTATTATGTTCTTACTCAGAATGTTTTGCAATGTCTTGTGCAAGATCAACTTCTTCTTCATCATCTGCTATTTCAGATAGTGACTTCAAAAGGGCACTTCCCATCAGAGCTCCACCTATAACACAAATGTATTACATGCACTTTTCAGATAGTGACTTCAAAAGGGCACTTCCCATCAGAGCTCCACCTATAACACAAATGTATTACATGCACTTTTCAGATAGTGACTTCAAAAGGGCACTTCCCATCAGAGCTCCACCTGAAACACAAAATGTATCACATGTATTTTTCAGATAGTGACTTCAAAAGGGCACTTCCCATCAGAGTTCCACCTGAAACACAAAATGTATTACATGTATTTTTCAGATTTCTAAAAAAATGAAACAATCGTAGAAGTGTTACAATGTATTTCCTTTCTATGTTTAAATGTCTGGAAAAGTATATTCCTCATTTTGAAAAAATAATATTTTCATCTACATTGCCAATGTTTCTGATAAAGATGACCCAGTTGTTTTATAAAAAAAGGAAACCCCACTTGAGCAGTTCACCACACAACTCTGTATGTTTGGAAGATACTTTACTACAATACCAAATACCTATGTGATCTTTGCCAAGCTTCCAAAACAGATGGGCCAGTTCTCTCCTATTAAGAAGGATTGCCCATAGGAACAGTTCTTTATAAGGGTCTTCAAAGTCAGCAGGTTTCATTTCCCTCATCTTCCTTCTTCTTGGGGTAACTGAAATAACAAGGAAAATGACTTAAAAACAAAATCACTCCACCAGGTAGCCACCCAAAAAGGATAACAGACTTGGGACCCTGGTGATTGGAAGAAATGAATGCAGAGGGAGTGGTTGATTTTTGCTAGAAGATTTATTTTTCAAGAGAAAGTTCATGATTGAATTGTTAAATGAGTAGGTGCACAACATTGGGAAAAAATATGTTAGGTCTTCTAAGATTTCTAATAGGCTTCTAAATTTAAGATCTATTCAAAAGGTGCAGCGTCACCAACAAGCAAATGTCAATGTTTGTGCTCTAAATCAAGCAACAATGGTCTTCATGACCTGTTATAAATACTTATAAGTGAAGTTTTTATAATAAAATTATTATGACATTAATTTTGTGTCTAAATGTCACTAACAACTATTTATAGCAGGTCGTATAGATTACCGTTACTTGAGATAAAGCAAAAACCAATTGTCATTTGCACATTGTGCCTTTTTTAATCGATTTTATATCTTAAAACATACTGGTTCAAAAGAAATTCCAGAAGACTTAACATATTTCCCTATGTCTTGTACCTATTCATTTTGCAATTCATTGCTACCTTTCTCTTAAAAAAATAAATCTTCTAGATTTGTTGAATTTTCTAGCAAAAACCGGCCACTCCCTCTGCATTCATTTCTTCAGATCACAGAGTGTGTTAATGGTATTCCTAAAATATCAATTTTTAGTCTAATGACCAAGTGACTTTGTGTTAAGTGGACCACTGTGAGTGGAACACCTCCTGAGAGGAACACTTTTTAACAGAACCAAGGGTATTCCACATAGGTTTCACTGTATGGAAAAGCTAAGCAATGACAAAATAAACTTATACTTGATTAGATGGGCATTCATGAATATTGAAATGGTATCTCTCATCATGTGGTTCCATTCTATGCCCATGTATACATGTATAATTCATGATATTGTAATTGTCTAATTAGCATAAGGTATAGTGTAAGATTGTTTTAATTGTCAAACTGTTCTTCAGTATTGGAGGCTAAATTAATAAATTACTGATATCATTACTCTTAATATCATTCACTTTTCAATGTAATGGATTTTGCTTTAGAGTTAAAATTTCGTTTTTACAATTCTTTCAACTTATGTAATGTCTTAAATTCATTTAAAGAACACCATAATTGTATAGAAAGTGTAAGCAACTTACTATAATCTCTAGTGTTATTCAGTTCATTTAATTGGTGATAATTAGGATCTGTGTGACCAGAAAGGTCTGGATGGTCTGGTACAAGATATTTCTTATCTAAAATACAAAACACATTCAGGGTGAAAACTATAATTTATATAGTATACATGTAGATATCAAAAGCTGGCTAAGGCCTGACTATGATAATAAATCTTTGCATAACAGTCATTAGTTTGATAAAAACATATAACATTTTTCACTCAAAACTCATCTTTTAATTAAAGCAGATAAGATTCACACTTAAACCTGAGACATAGCTGCCTCAGTTGATAGATACTAAAGAACTCAACTATGATAAAACACGTTTGCACAAGGACATGACACTGCACTGTACATTTTTTAAAATTTATAGTTCTTTTTCTTTATACTGGCACATGTAGGTTTACATAAATCTACCTAATCTACCTGGGCTTATCAACCCCCACTTTAAGTTTTAACATTTTAAATCATACATTTAAAAGAACCAAATATAAGTCAAGCAACATATATGATTACACTGTACATCATTTGACAAGACAAAAGCATTCTCTCACAAATTGCATCATGGTAAGCCATGCCCTTTCCATCTTGGTACTTCTGGAGAGATCTAAGACGTAACAGATAGAGAGATCTAGAGATGCACAAAATGGGCAAACTGTCTTGTCATCTCCTGTGAAAGTTACTTTAATTTTTTACCTTTGTAAGGATTCCTTGAAACATCCCCCATGAGGTGTGAAATGACCCTCCCAACAATTGGCAGTAGATTTGGAAGGTCATCTTTCCACGGTTCACTCTTACAACAAACAATGTATGACTTCCAATTTTGCTACAAGTAGAAGTTTAGAAAAATGTCATAGTTATGATCATGATTTGATAGCCATCGTAAAGTCATTAAATAGACTTTTCCAATAAACTCATTTGCAATCATGCAATCATTTGCTACATCATAAAAGCTAGGATATAATGGCTAAATTGATGATGTCATAGGTTCTACTTTTTAGGTCCCTAGTCTTTTATTTCAAATAAATTCATCAAATTAGTGTTGAATACTGAAGCAATAAGTTTAATCTACTTATTTTCATTTTTAATCTATATTCCTGATACTAAAGAAAAGAATTGTCTTTTCAGAAAATGTTCACAAAAGTGATGGCATATTGATTTACTGAAAAAGCAAATTAATGGTATTCCTAATATGCCGAGGCACCATTTTTGTAATAAAGATTTTACACTCTAAGAATGCACACAGCAAAACATAGTCATTGTTTGTGTTAGTATAACATGGATTGGTTTTATTTAACATTTATTTTTAAACTACAGCAAGAAAAATCAACAGATTTATAGGATTCAGATTTTACTTTGTTATTAAAGAGTTAAAGCACATGATTAATTAGTAAGGGTGGTATCATGATGCATAAATATGATGTTTAAGCTATGCAAGAAAGTCAAGTGTCACTTGCTTAGTCAATTGCATGCATTCAATGCAACATTTAGATAGTTTGACTTAAAAATCATAAATTGCTCCAACTTCTTTTTTTAAGCACTCAATTAAGTGAAGATATTTAATTCCAAAGCCTTAGATTCACACACAGATCTACAACACTCTTAAAGGGTCTAAATACAAACAAGAACATCAGAAACCAAAACCTACAACATTTAAAGGGTCACATTTCACTTACAGATTTCACCTAAAAGCAAAAATACATGAACATAATTATTTAAAACAGTGAAGAATAATAACATGACAACACAACACTTTAAATGATCTTTGTTTCTGTTAAGAAAATCATGTGAATAGAATTGTATTTTTACTCTACCATGATACAGGAATCAAACAATGTATTTTGTGTAAAAGCTATAACTTCTTAATTCTTTCCTAATTCTGACCCTTCTTTCAACTAGAATATAATTTCAATAAATATTTTAAGAAAACTTAAGCAAAATGCCAAATGAGTGAAAATATTTCAATAATGCAAATGTGTACAGGTATTATTTCTTTTTACTGAAAGGAGTGGTATCGATATGGAGAACTAAATTCAACAATGTTTTTCTCTTAAACCAATCATTAAAAACATTCTGTAAAAAAACACGGTATTTTATGTAATGTTGACTGATTGACAACAATTCAATGCGAAAATTATTTAGAAATATTTTATATAACTGTTTTTGTTAACATTTTTTGTTTTTCTAGTGCAATTGTTTTTGTTCCTTTCTACCAATTCTTGAGAATGAAATAAAATGTCTTTCCGAACCTTGTTGGAACAAAATAGCATATACAACATGTTTTTAGACCTCTCAATATTATAGTTATACAAAGGAATTTTTGGTTGATTTTAAAAGTATTCATAAAATTAAAACAAAATCCCCCAAAATAGATAAAAATCAAGATAAACCTTTTATTTCATTAACAAGACTTTTTTAAAATCAACCAAAATCTCCTTTGTACAATTACAATATTGAGAGACCTAAACATGTTGTGTTTATGTTGTTTTGTTCCAATTAGATGAGGTTCGGAAAGATGTTTCATTTCACTCTGGAAACATGATATTAAGAACAAAACAAGTGTTTGATGTGTTTTCTAAAACAATATAGATGAAATTATATATATATTTTTCAAATTATATTGTTACCATTCAAAAGATGACCATTAAATTGACAATGTGTAAAATTTTCAGAATTTTTTGATGATTGGCTTAAGAGAAACGTGTGTTCAAAAAGTTCGCCATATCGATACCAATCTTTTTACTAGAAAAACTATGTAAGTAGCAAATCACACTAAATAAAATATATTTTGATAGGTAGAGTTCATCTTGAAAATTTCTTCTTTAACAGAGCTCCTTTATCCCTAAGCACATAAAATTTGAACCAAATCTGTCAGCTGGTATTTGGGTTATTTTGATATTCAGCAGCCATCTTGAAAA